GTAAGATCTGACCGAGGTGGTGAGTACTATGGGAAATATGACGAGTCTAGTCAAAATATGGGTGATTTTGCAAAATTTTTACAAGAATGTGGAATAGTTCCCCAATACACCATGCCAGGGACACCTGAGCAGAATGGTGTTTCTGAAAGACGTAATCGAACTCTAAAAGATATGGTTAGAAGTATGATGAGTAAAACAAATTTGCCTGAATATTTGTGGAGTGAAGCCTTGAAAACAGCTATGTATATTTTGAACAGAGTTCCAAGTAAAGCTGTTGCAAAGACACCGTTTGAATTATGGACAGGACGTAAGCCAAGTATGGCTCACTTTAAAGTTTGGGGATATCCAGCTGAGGTTAGGATTTATAATCCATTTGAAAAGAAATTAGATCCTAAATCAACTCCTGGCTATTTTATTGGGTATCCAGATAGATCAAAGGGATATAAGTTTTACTGTCCAAATCGCGACACTAGAATTGTGAAGTCCATTACTGCTAAGTTTCTGGAGAACGATTTTGGAGATAGTGGGAGTTCCACGTTAAGAGAAATTCTTGTTGAACATATTCAAGTTGTAGTTCCAGTTCCTGTCATATAGGAAAGAGTTGTTTCCCAACCAATTGAAGTTGTTAATAAAAGAACCGAGGAACCAGGAGGAATCTCCAATTCCTCAAACAACGATTGAATCGATTTCTGAGCCACAAGTTAGGAGATCACAAAGGGAAAGAAGATTTGCATTGCCCAGTGATTATGTTACATATTTATTGGAGAGCGATTTCAATATTGGGCATATTGTTGATCCTGTAACTTATAATCAAGCATTGACAAGTCCTGAGGCAGATAAATGGATAGCTGCCATGAAAGATGAAATGAATTCCATGGAAAGGAATAAAGTTTGGGATCTTGTTGAACTTCCTCCAGATGCTAAGGCTGTAGATAACAAGTGGATTTTCAAAAATAAATTAGATTCAAAAGGAAATGTTGAACGAAAGAAAGCAAGATTGGTTGCAAAAGGTTTCACTCAACGAGAAGGCATTGATTATGTTAAAACCTTCTCCCCTGTTTCGTCGAAAGATTCTTTTCAAATTATCATGGCTCTTGTGGCACACTATAATTTGGAGTTTCATCAAATGGATGTTAAGACAGCATTTTTGAATGGAGATCTTTCTGAAATAGTTTATATGAAACAACCTGAAGGTTTTGTTGTAAAAGAAAAAGAAAACTTAGTATGTAAGTTAAACAAATCCTTATATGGTCTCAAACAAGCATCTCGACAGTGGTAGTTGAAATTTGATGAGGTTGTGACATCTCTTGGTTTTGTCGAAAATACTATTGATCAATGCATTTATCTTAAAATCAGTGGGAGAAATTTTATTTTCCTTGTACTGTATGTTGATGACATTCTGCTTGCTAGCAATAACTTAGGGCTGCTTCATGAGACAAAGAAAATGTTGTCTGCTAATTTTGAGATGAAAGATCTTGGAGAAGCTTCCTATGTACTTGGCATTGAAATATATCGTGATAGAAATCGTGGTTTATTGGGACTTTCTCAGAAGGCTTATAAACGACGTGTTCTAGAAAGGTTTAATATGCAGAATTGTGCACCTGGTGATGTACCTATCATAAAAGGAGATAAGCTTAACAAAACTCAATGTCCAAGGAATGAGCTGGAAAGGGAGTCTATGAAGATGATCCCATATCCTAGTGCTGTGGAAGTTTGATGTATGTTCAAGTTTGCACTAGACCGAATATAGTCTATGCAGTAAGTGTCCTTAGTAGATTTCAGTCTAATCCAGGACAAGAGCATTGGAAAGCAGCTAAGAAAGATATGAGATATTTGAAGAAAACTGAAAGTTATATGCTTACATTCCAGTGTACAAATCATCTGGAGGTGGTAGGATATTCAGATTCTGATTTTGCGGGATGTCAAGATGATTTGAAATCAACCTCAGGTTACATTTTTACATTAGCTGGTGGTGTCATTTCTTGGAAAAGTGTTAAACAGACTTTAGTGGCATCTTCTACTATGCAAGTTGAATTTGTGGCATGTTATGGGGCTACAGTCCAAGCCGTTTGGATAAGAAATTTCATCTCTGGTTTGAAAGTTGTTGATTCTATCTCAAGACCGATCACCATCTACTGTGATAATAGTGCAGTAATATTCTTTTCAAAGAATAATAAAAGTTCTGGTGGATCAAAACATATTGACATCAAATATTTGGTTGTTAGAGACAGAGTCAAAAAAGCGCAGACGAAAATAGAGCATATCAATACAGAGGCGATGGTTGCTGATCCCTTGACTAAGGGACTCGCTCCAAAAGTTTTTAAGACACATGTTACTAATATGGGTATTGTGGAAACATTTGATATTTTTAGTTAGTGGGAGTTATTTATGTAAAGAACTACGTTTTGGGCTTGATCCCTTTACGGGGTACGTAGGCAACCCATATGTTTTCGAGTACAGCCCCTTCTGATAATAAAAATAAATTTTCACCTATCCATGAACTATTTTTAAGCATGCATTTGACTTATGTCTTTTTATATTATTGGCATCTTGAAATATGACGTATAAAGATATAAGATGAATCTCTTTTAGAGACATGTGGCTTCATTTTGATTCGAAGCATTATGAGGACCGATATGAGTTAGCACAGTTTTTGATCACATTTGGTGCTAAGTTCATACCACATACTACCACATTGGTTGGAGGATGGGGATCCATATCGATAAGGATGTTGACATTTGTAGCTGTGGAATGGTCTTACATCTCTTAAATTGGTGTAATGACTTCCATGTTCGGTGTTAATATTCTTGTTGGACCGGATCATGTTACGTAAGGTGTCATCATTGGAGCTATACTTTTGTGCCCACCTATGTAGTCTAACCCAAGTGTTAAAACCTTGTTATGGCAATCAAATGTTTGCCCAAGTGGGAGAATATTGGAATAATTAATTATTTCATATGTGGGCTTCACATTGTAAATTTTACGGGTTAGATATATGGCTCATAATGATATTTTGTTTGGGCCAAATTTATTAAGTGATCAATTAGGCCTTTTACACCTTACGGGTTGTAATTAAGTTGATGTGGTAATTTAAAGTATGTGGGCCGAAAATAAACCCTAATTAGAATTCTAGTCGTAATGGGACGGCTCAATTATTTCTTATATATAAAGGCTAGGTCCCCTCTCCTCTCCATATGTTTTATTGGCTTGCCCCATTGATAGCTATTACTTTGTGAGGAGCAAGAAGGGGAAGATCTTGGCTGCTATTACAACAATTATTCATATCAACAATGGCTTTCGCAGGTATGAATTCGATTTATCAATTTATTATTATGTGATTTTTGTTCTTAGCATGATTACAATAAAATTCAACATCCCCCTCAAGTTGGAGTATGAATATCATGAATGCCCCAACTTGCTGAGATGAAAACGATAGGAGTTCTTGCCCAGTGGTTTAGTAAACAAGTCAGCAACTTGAGTTTGTGAAGTGGTAAATGCCATTGTTAATTGCTTCAGCTTGATCTTGTCTCTCACAACATGACAATCCATCTCTGTGTTTGGTCCTTTCGTGGAAGACAGGATTTGCTGCTATGTGTAGAGCAGCTTTGTTATCGCAGTAAAGTTTGGCAGGTAGACTGATTTTAATTCCCAAGTCCTTGAACACATACCTCAGCCATGTATGTTTACAGGTCAATGCTTCCATTGCCCTATAATCTACTTCTGCCGAAGAACGTGATACGGTAGTGAGAAAGGAAGAAAGCAATTATAAGTGAATATAAGTTGTGGGTTGGAATTTTGGTTGATGTTGATTGGTGAGTAAAAATTGAGCCTGAAATTCATCAATTGAAAATAAATTCCGCTAAATAATATGTAATAAAAATCCTACGGGCTAAATAATAAGTAATAATAATCCTACGAGATAAATTTGAGCTTAACCAATTTCTTTTAATTAGTTTTTCGCATCATCGAACTTTAAACAGTGTGGCTTATTAGAAAATGAATTCAAAGCTTTTCCGGTTGAATCCGTAGTAAGGTATTAAAAGAATGTAATAAACTTAAACATGTAATATAAAAATGCAGAGAGAAAAATAATCGAACTTCAATTTTGGCTCCATAGTTGTTAAGGGTAAAAATATTACAGAAAAGATAACTGAACTTAGATAAATTTAAGAGAGTGAAATTGAGAATAAAAGAGAGATTTCAAGGGAGATCAGAGAATGAAGTAAGATTATGAGAATTTTGATAAGTTAGACTAGTCTGTGCCATTGTTTGATGAAAATTAAAATCAAAATTTTAATTGATTTTAATAAAAGTTGAAGAAATGTGAAATTGAAAAATTGTGGACCGTATGAAATATGGGATTAGAATTTATTATTCATTTTAACTTGAATTAAAATCTTTTAATCCATACCAAACAGGACCAATATTTTATCCATGGTTATCTAATTTGAAAATTTGGATAATATATAATAATGAAAACCATATATAATCATGCTAATGCCAATGATCACAACACAAGTCTTTATTTTGTCCGAAAAGATCTGGATTTTGCCAAACAACCCATCTGGTCGACACAACGGATGACCGCACCCTTGCATGTCGAGGTGGGTCCCACCTGAATTTAAAATCAGACCCACCTGTGTTGTGTGCGCACGGTCATCCCCATGGGCACTGTAGCTCGATCCGATCTGGATCTTAGAAACAAAACAAAAATATCTGAATTTGGAGATTGTCCCATGCAGAGCCAAATAAATTTATCACCACAACACAGACTGCTGCAAATATTGAACTGCAAAATCTTGTAAATGTCTCTGGTGGACCATAAATATGTGGTCGACAATGACATTATCACCACGTTGTCAATAATTTTAGCGAAACACGACAATTTATATAATTTGGTTCAGATCATCTTCTTGATAAGGTTACACAATCTCTCTTGGATTATATATATCGCTTAATCTGCTTATATATACACATGCATGTTCGCATACTCTAACTCAAGACATTTAAAATCAATATTCTTGCTCGATCTAAGTTTAAATTACGCGCACACAATGAGATTCAGATCTTTAATCTATTCGGAGATTCTTCTGTTACGGTTTGTGCAGTTTTTATGCCTTTCACAGGGTTATGATTTCTTTTACTTTGTTCAAATGGTGAGTTTTTCTTCACCAAAAAATAAAAAATAAAAAATCCATTTAATTTTTTCTCTTAGCAATATATATAACATTTTTTCATTCTTCCAACCAATGAATATTCAGTGGGCAGGTTCGTATTGTGACACGAAAAAAGGCTGCTGCTACCCGACTACTGGAAAGCCAACAACTAATTTTACCATTCACGGACTTTGGCCTCATTACAGCAATGACAAATCCCCATCAAATTGCAATGGTAATAGCCCTTTCGACCAAACCAAGGTAATTTCATTTCGACATATCTTTTTGCGCGTAAAACTTCTTTTTTTTTTTTATATATATTTTGGTTAAAGTCTAAATTTTGTTGTGAATTGAGACGAGTTCTTGTTCCCAGAAAAGTCGTAGAGAAAAAAAATAATACCCAAAGTTTTATCGCACCCACCAATTTCTACTATTAGAACAATCCACGAAGAGAACAACAAAAATCAGAATGCTTTACTAACAATTTTTCTCACATTGATTTATAGACGAAAAAATAAAAGATAAAAACATTGATTTATAGAAGAAAATAGGGTTCTGCCAATTGCTTCCTTTCTCAAATTACAAATGGAAACAATAGAAAACAATAATCATATCCAAAATATTATCTCCTATTTGCCAAAGAAGTCCTCATAAGTTGGGAGTTTTAACTTTTAAGGCAGTAATCCCAACAATTTTTTTCATAAATAGATCAAAGCAATACTTGAATCATAATTATCTCCTTACAGATCTCAGACTTGATGAGCAGAATGCAAAATAGTTGGCCGACAGTAGCTTGTCCCAAGAACAGTGGAACGAAGTTTTGGTCGCATGAATGGAAAAAACATGGGACTTGTTCCGAGTCAGTACTTGACCAACATGCATACTTTGAAGCCGGTCTCAACATTAAGGATAAGGTTAACCTCCTTCAAATACTTGAAAATGCCGGTAATTCTCCATATTTTGCATCTCAATTTCTAAGCATTCTTCACTTGATAACTTAAAATTTTTTATCGTACACATCTTTTCTCAAGTCACGTCTAGTCTAGTCTAGTCTAGTCCGGTTCAAATATCAAACATGATATAACATGTGTCATATATTGAACATTGCAAAATTAAAAGAAGATAAGCGAGTGACATTTTTCTTGTTCCCAATTATCACTTAATGGTGTCGAATATATCTTTTCTATCATATAGATTGAGATACGCCCATTGACCCTTAGCTCTATTAAGTTGTGGAGCCTAATTAATTTTCAAGCCCTAATTATATTGCCACTTCGTGGAAGAGGAGATACAATAGACATTTTCTCTTATAAACCGTTTTCATCATAGTGAATTACTGCAGTGACGGAAAATGACGTAATCTCACATTGAAGCGAATCTCTATAAATCTTACATGTCTTAACTATTTATTTTCTTTCTTTAAATTGATTGCTCTTTGGTGGAATAGAATTATAGTTTATAATTCTCAACAACCTCGTCTCTTAATGTAAAAGTTTAAATATATCAAACTGCCATTAATGACCACATATTCTTGTGAAAAGTCAATTCAACAACGCAATCACATTCATTGTTGGGTTATCGAGGAACTTCAGCTCTATATTTTTCTCAATACGAAATTTTTGTTTTAGTAATGAATTATGCAGGAATAAAACCAGATGACAAGTTTTACAAGGTAGATGACATTAAGGAGGCTATAAAAGCAGGCACTGGACACACTCCAGCGGTAGAGTGCAACAATGATCCATCACGAAGCTCTCAACTCTACCAGGTTTATCTTTGTGTTGATACTTCTGGTTCAGACATAATTGAGTGTCCAGTGATTCCAATTAGAAAATGCAATGCCTCAATACAGTTCCCCATCTTCTAGCCATTGGAGTACTGAATTTGAAGATGAATAAAATTAGTGAGATTCTCGACTTTTATTAATGTGTTGCTTTGTTTCTGTATGTCCTGAATTTTGGCATGCATTATGCTGCCAAGGAGTAATGAATAAAGTAATTATTTTTTATTTCTAAACGTGTTTAAATATTTTATTTTTTCCTTGATTTATGACCAAGTCACTGCTAATTTGGTCATATACAGTCACAATCAATCATAATTAAATAGATGCCACAACATATACAGTCACAACCAATCACAATTAAAATGGACTTGGTCACCACCACCGCCAATAATCATCAAATACCGATGACCATACCAGCAATCTGTTGAGAAATTGAAGAATTATAGAGAGAGAAATAATGGAGCGTTTTCCTTTATAAATGTTGAGAGAGAGCATTTTATTTGTAAATGTTGAAGAACATTTGTATTGTGTGTATAAATTTAAACAAATCTCGTTAGATAAACATAAAACGATTTCCATATTAATCATATATTGTTTAATTCAATAAATCTTCATTATCACGTGATTTATAAAATTAAAACTAATACTCTTTATATTTGAATAGTATATTTTTTATATATGGTTTTGGATAATTTTCCCTTCTAATTATAAAAGCTTTAAAAAATCGGGATTTGGAAAACATTATTAAAAAACAGTATTATTGAAAAGAAAATTTTTAAAAAACCATCCAATCATGGTAGGAGGAGACTGATTTTTCTGTGGTTTGTCGTAGGTGTGGATGGTAGTTGTGTATAGGTTCATAAGTTACAACACAAAAAAAGTTACTCTGTAACAATAGTTTATGTAATTTGCTTATATTGATGGGAGTAACTATTGATGGTGATTGGATGGCGATCATAATAGCGATGGTGAGATTGTGGTGTAACAATTTAAAGTTATAATTTTAAAAATATTACATAGACGGTAATAGCAATAACACATATTATAACAACAATTTATGTAATTTTTCTATGTTGATGGAGTGATTGTTGATGGTGATGATGAGACGGTGGTTTAACAATTTTAAGTGACAATTTTTAAAAAAATTCGTATACTATAATAGTGATAACACTTAGCATAAGTAACAATTTTTAAATTACAATGCACTCAATCGGTAATAACACAACCTTGTAAGTTACAATTCTAAAGAAATTACATAAGGTGTTGTTTGGAATTTGTATGAAAATAAAATAAATTCTAGGCAATTCAATTGTTTAGAATATATTTGTATCAAAATTATTAATTAAATGTATTTCATTGATTTAATTTTCAAACTCAAAAGTATTATACTTGTCTATTTTTTATTCGTGGGTAGATGAAAGTGAATGGAGAGATAAAAAAGAGAGAGTGTATTCTCTGGGAAATAAAATCATACTTTCCGTAAACAAAATATTTTCTTTGATTTTGAGAAAAATATGGTTACGTGATCAAAAATGGGAAAATGTTTTTCATGAAAAAAATGTCAATCAAACAGTACAAAAGTAGAAATTTTGATGAAAAAAATATATTTTTCATGAAAAATATTGATAATCAAAATTTGTTGTAATAAAATTACATACATTATAAGAAAATTGACAGATTTGAAGTGATACTTGATTTCTTGAAATTGGACCCGAATGTTCCATCGTTATGTAACCCTATCCAAATTCGCCCATTTAATTAGTTCGGCCACTAACCAAATTGTCAAACAGGACTCCATCTCAAAACAAACCCAACCCATTGACCCACTTATGACTTATGTGAGTGATTTTGATGGTTTTGCGGATTACTTCTTATAAGAAGATGTGGGAAGGAAGAAGACAATTTTCTTGATTGTGATAATTCAAAATATATATTGGGGCATGAATTTTTGTATCATCCTAACATGGATTTTTCCTTTTTTCATCGCTCATTGGGAGAAGATTTTATTTTTGACTCCATCTATCTTCAAGCCATCAACATGATTTTAAACTCAACGCAAAGCGAAAACTCAAACATCAAATGGTGACTGGTGACTATAAGTAAATTAAGAGGGCTTTAATTGGGTACACGTATTATTTTATTTTGCCCCTAATTGATTTGGATAAAAATTAATTTTTTATTAAATTTTGAAAATAAAAAATGATGAAATGTGTAGTTAAAAAATCGATAAACGTTGTAAGTGCTATAAAATATAATGCGAAAATGTTATGAAATTCTTATAATAAGAATTATGTAATAAATAATAGTATTGGAGACAAATTAGAGAAACGGGCTATATAAGGGTTGGTTTTTGATATATTTGTTCGACCAATTTTAACTTGTAGGAGCGTGATCAAAACACAATTTATATGAAAATCTGGACAGAGTTTCGATATATATATAATGTGGTAAATGATTACGCAAAATAAGAATTAAAAATGAGTAGAAAATAGAGAATAATCCAAGGTAAAACGTTATCTCTTTCCTTAAAACAAATTACCCTGCTACGGTGCTCACGGTGAATGGCACTTGTCTCCAAAAATATAATGGATTCACAACTTGTGATAGCAGTACTTCAAACCACAAGAAACCGGTGAACTTTTGATAGAATTTTCCCTCTACAAAGGAAATGTATGAAAATGCTATAAAAATAGAAAGAAGATAATTGCAAGATGAGAATGAGTGCTCAATGCAATTGGTGTACCCAAAATCATGTCTATAGAGTCCTATTTATAGATGTAGAAAGGGTGCAAATAAAGTGGTGTGAGCAAAAACATGTATTCTTTCGAAAAGTTGCAACACTTGGCCAAAATATGCTTTCTTTCGAAATGTTGCAAGACTTCATTTCTTCTAGCTTTGGACCACAATATGTCATTTATCCGAAATTGGTTTCGAGATACCAAATATACCACAACGATCTACTCAACGAGTAGAATAAATTAGTTTATTTGTTTTTGTAATTTGACCATCGGATCAAGTCTGAATATTTTGTTGAAGTTGACACGAAGTTACACCTTTTTATTTACCACTTTTACACACCTTTTCATTTTCCAATTTATTTGAAACAATTCCAACAATCCCCCCACATGAATGGAAATTTGGGTACGCATATGTAAATACGATAATATGATACAATGTAGCGAAAAAATACTGCATCAGGGATAGTGGCTTCTAGTCTTGAACGTCCCTTAGTGAAAAACTATCGGACTTACTCGACTAATTAGTGAACCATAGGTTTTGAACCACTTAGTTCTATAAAATATAATGCAGAAATGTTATGAAATTATGTAATAAATAATAGTAGTGGAAATGACTTAGAGAAACAAGCTATATGAGGGTTGGTTTTTGATATATATGTTCGATCAGTTTTAACCCGTAGGAGCGTGATCAAAACACAATTTATATGAAAATTTGGGAAGAGTTTTGGTATATATATAATGTGGTAAACGATTATGCAAAATAAGAATTAAGAATGAGTAGAAAATAGAGAATAATTCAAGGCGAGACGTTATCTCTTTCCTTAAGACAAATTACCCTGCTACGGTGCTCACGGTGAATGGCACTTATCTCTCAAGATATAATGGATTCACAACTTGTGGTAGCAGCACTTCAAATCACAAGAAATCGGCGAACTTTTGACAGAATTTTCTCTCTACAAGGGAAATACATGAAAATGCTATAGAAATAGAAAGGAGATAATTGTAAGAGGAGAATGAGTGCTCAATGCAATTGGTGTATCCAAAATTATGTCCATAGGGTCCTATTTATAGATGTAGAAAGGGTGCAAATGAAGTGGTGTAAACCAAAACATGCATTCTTTCGAAAAGTTGCAATGCTTGGCCAAAATCTGCATCCTTTCGAAATGTTGCAAGATTTCATTTCTTCTAACTTTGGTCCTCAATTTCTCATTCATCCGGAATTGGTTTCGAGATACCAAATATACCACAACGATCTACTCACAAGTAAAATAAGTTGGTTTATTTACTTTTGTAATTTGTCCATCGGATCAGGTTCGAATATTTTGTTGAAGTTAACACAAAGTCACACCTTTTCATTTTCCAATTTATTTGAACCAATTCCAACATTCCCCCCCACATGAATGGAAATTTGGGTACGCATATGTAAATACGATGATATGATACAATGTAAAGAAGGAGCAAAAAAATACTGCATCAAGGATGGTGGCTTCTAGCCTTGAACCTCCCTTAGTATACTATTGGACTTACTCGGCTAATTGGTAAATCATAGGTTTTGAACCACTCAGCCTTTGGTGTAAGCTAAGACAACAGTACTCACACAGATATCTTCCTTATTCTGTATTTAGTTCTCATGACTTGGTTCATTTTGGCCCTGAACCCTTCTTGGTTTCATAAGTTTTAGAGAATTCAAGTCTTAAACAATTTTCATCAAAGCGGCCTCACTTCACACTTACATAGATGACTTCTTATTAAGAGTATTCTACCGTACTCCACTTGACTTAATCAAGATATAGGAATCATTAAAAGATAATCTTAACCTCTATCCATTCTGCAGAAAACACTTTAGTATTATAAGAATGAGTTAGGAATTTTAATTTTCTAAGTGTTTCATGGAATTTTCACAACTTAGTTGTCCTTTTAAACCAAGATCTTGGGATCTCCAGACAACAAGGTAGGGTTACCATTGCAAAAACTCTTAGTAGTAGGCTGTAATCTCATTCGTCTCAATAGGCAATGTACTTGATCTTTATGCAAACATTTTGTAAGTGGATCCGCAATATTCTCCTTTGATTTCACATAATCTATGGAGATAACGTCATTTGAGATCAGTTGCTTAATAGTGTTGTATCGACAACGAATATGTTTAGACTTACCACTATACATGCTACTTCGAGCCCTTCTAATTGTCGATTGACTATCACAATGTATACTTATCGGGCTTGGGCCAACATGGAACATCTTCTAAGAAATTTCGAAGTCATTTTGCTTCTTCTTCAACTTTGTCCAAAGTAATAAACTCATATTTCATCGTTGATAGAGCTATGCACGTTTGCTTTGTTGATTTTCATGATACAACAACTCCACCAATGATGAATACATAATCACTAGTGGACTTGGAATCCTTCATATCGGATATCCAATTTGCATCATAATATCCTTCTAGTACCGCAGGATATTTTGTAAAGTGTAATCCATGGGTTAAAGTAT